ACTGAGGGCCATGCCGTCTACCAGGGCTAAAGCTGGACCCGGCTCCACACCTCCCTGCCCACCTCCTGTCCATTCCGCCTCCTGACGGGTTTCCCTGCCGCCCCCGCTGTGCCTCTGGTCTGCTTGTGGGCCCCCAGGTGCACTCCACGCAGCAGCCAGGCTAAGCCCTCACAGCTGACACCATCAGAGCCTGCCAGCCCTTGCTTTCCACCCTGGGAAGTCTCCCTTTCCGTGATGGTGGCCACCACGTCCTCAAGCCTTCCCTGCCACCCTGGTGCTGTGTTCCTCCTGCTGCCCATGAGCCAGGGGCCCTGGACAGCGGCATCCACCCACCACCTGGCAGAACCATGTCTGTGCGAGTGCCTGATGCTTGAGGCTGCTTCCTCTGCAGGTCTGGGACTCCCAGAAAGCTCGCCACCATCCCCTCCTCGCTGATGCCCAGAAGTCTGTGACCATGTACAGGCAGTAATGTCCCTGTTTCACAGCAGAACAAGCCTGGAAGGGACTAGCCTGTGGTCCCTTGGACAGTGCGTGGGGTCCCACATCACTAAAAGTCCTCGGATAAGGGTCCCGCCCTTTGTCTGCCACGCCCAGCACCTCCACCCTGGCATGAACTTAGCCTCCCAGGGTCCCTCCACCTTCTCTATTCTGTCATCCTAATTGCACCAGAGGAGCTGGGCCCTGAGGAGTCACTTCCGCTCCCACCAAGAACAGTAATATCAGAATGGAAGGAGTCTTGCTCTGCCTTGGGATACAGCACTGCACCCTGATCTGCCCGGGCCTGCTTGCTCTCCCCCCTCTGACCACTACCTTCTCTTTGCACCCTGCAGCTTTCCCATGTGCCATCAGACTCAGAGGACACCGGAAAGTTAAGCAGGGCAGTAGCATGTCCCTGGGGAATGCAGGGCTGGGTGACAAAGAGGAGACACCTCCTGGGCCTGGGCGACGCTATTCTCTCATCACTTCAGCACCCTCCACCCCACTGGTGAACCGCTGGGCTGACAAAGACTGTCCTGAAGGGGAGACGGGGATGCACAGCCACATCTGTAGGCCTGTCTTCCAGCACCTCCACTGGGGTGGGGTTTCAGGGGGCCATGCTGGGACCCTTGGTGGCTCCCGCATGTAGGCCCGGTGGTGCCTCTGCGTCTCTTCTTTCTGCCAACAGCCTCCTGCCCACGCACTTCCCAGGCCCTGTGGAGACTTGAGGGCCTGGAGTTTGTCTTGTGTTTTCAAGGCATAAAAATGGGCCAGTGTGTGGAGTTCAATGGGACCCACAGGACCTGTGAGATCTGGGGCTGGTGCCCCATGGAGAGTGACACTTTGCCCGTGTAAGTGTCACCGACACCCAGGGCAGGTCCCAGGACCAGCAGAGCCTGCCCGTGACCTCCCCCACCTGCAGGAAGTCCCTGCTGCTCCAGGCTGAGAACTTCATGCTGTTCATCAAAACACTGTCACCTTCAGCAAGTTCAACTTCTCCAGGTCAGCATGGTGGGTCCTGGCTGCCCCAGATCCTCCTTGTCCCCTGACTGGCCTGACCCCCTCGCCCCACCCGCTCTCAGGCCCAATGCCTTGGAGACTTGGGACGCCACCTATTTCAAGTGCTGCCATTGTGACCTACACTTCAGCCCCTACTGCCCCGTGTTCTGCATCAGGGACTTCGTGCCCGCTGCTGGAGGGGTCTCAGAGGACCTAGCATTGCTGGTGGCTCCGTGGTGGACAGGGTCTGGAGAGAGGGTCCGTGCTGTACGGGATCCGCTTCAACATCCTCATCACTGGGCAGGCAGGGGCCAGGCTAGGGTGGGTGGGGGTAGGCGGGGGTGAGGGGTGGGATGGGGCAACAGCCACAGCCAGAGAGGCTCAGCTCAGGTCTCCCTCAGGCAGGGAAGCTCGGGCTCATCCCCTCAACCCTCACTCTGGGCACTGGAGTGGCTTGGCTGGGTGTGGTGAGTCTGGCCAACGTGGCTCCCTCTGGCTGCCGGCAAGCGTGTGCCTCCAGAGTGCACACCCAGGCCCCTGTGCTGACATTTAGTCTTGGGGTGAGAGCTGGGGAGGCGGCGGAATGGCAGGTTGGGGCCCAGGACATGGGTCTGCCTTGCCTCTCACAAATCCCCTTCTCCTGTGACCTGCTGCTGTTGTACGTGGTTGGGGAAGACCATCTCTCCTGGAGGACCAAGTCTGAGGAGGGGAGCTGTGGGCCTGGCTGGACCCTGGGCCACACTTTGGAGGATGGTGGCTGGAGCCCTGGCCTGCTGTCCTCATCTGCAGGCAAAGGCCCCGAAAGGCACTGCCAACCCTGAGCAGACAGAGCCGGCTTCCCCACCCCCACATCCAGCTGCCCAGGTGCCTTAGAGCTGCTGGGAGCTGGACACTGTCACCAGGGTGGCCCTGGCACCCAGTTGCTCGCCCATTCCTCAGGTCTGTGGCCTTTGTCTGCTGGTGTGGGGTTGGGGGTTGGGAAGGGTGGGGGTGCAACCTTGGGAACCATGGATGAAGCCCTAGCAGAACCAGGGCAGGGGGTGGGGGGAGAACTCCTCCCTTCAGCTCCCAGGCAGACTGTCCCTACCCCAACTCCAGCCAGGGTGCTTCCTGGGACCACCGCAGCCAGTTTTGTATAGGGACCTGCAGGGGAACACGATACAGGGCGCTGGTCCAGTGGGGCTCCTGCTGGGTCTGGGTCTGGAGAACACTTTCCCAGTCTGTCTCCAGTGTTCCCAGCAGCTCCCTGCTCACCAGCTGTCCCCACATTGGCTGTGGTCAACTCTGGCCCTGCCTGGCTCCCAGCGCTCCTCCCCCTGCCAGCACTCCCCTCACAGTAGAGCCCCTCCCCTCTCAGCAGCTCTGCCCTGGGGTCTGTGCAGCCAGAGTCCAAGGAAAGGGAGAAAGGAGCCTGACAGGAGAAGTCATCTCAGCTGCTCTGGGGCTGGGTTCCTAGGGCAGGTTCCCTCCCAGCTCTGGGCCTCATCCATGGAGTGAGGAGTATGGTGGGCAGATGATCTGATGCCTTAGGACCCCAGGCAAGGACACAGGCACCTCTTGGGCGCAAACCTGCTCAGCTTGTGAGGACCAGCCCCTCCCTGGTAGCAGCCCACTGGCTGTGGAGGGCTGGGATGAGGGAGGTTGGAGGGGCTGAGTTGGTGGGTACATGGTCCTTTGGGACCTGCTATATGTCTCCTTGGAGACCCACCAGCCCCAAGCCGTAGGACCTGCTCACCGGCCTTCCTGGGAGCCATGGGGTGGGGAGGCTGTATATCTGGACACATATGTCACTGCTGCCCAAGGTCACACCTGAGATCGTGTCTGGGCAGCTGCCCACCCCAACCTGAGGCAACTGCACGAGGACCACACTCTGACCAAGATCTCAAGTGGAGCCCAAGGGGTGGAAAGAATGTCCCTAACAGAGGACACAGAAGCACCTAGCGGGCTGGCCTGGTTCTGGCTCTGGAATACCCCCAGGGGCCTGAATCCCGCCTGCTGAAGAATGTCCCCATGCCCCTGAGCCCATGGTCCGGAGGAGAGGCATGGGGGCTGCTGAAGCCAAGCTCTCTCTTGGTTCCAGGGAGGGGCAGGGATTTGGGGGTACCCACCCCAGGGAGACAAGGGGCTGCCTTCTTATGGGTCCCCGGTGACCAGGGGCATGCTGGCAGCTAGCTGGTGGAGCGACATGGGCCAGGTTGGGGAGGGCCAGGGTTGGGGCTCAGGCTGGGCAGCATCTGGAATCATCTGGCACCTGGAGCCTCAGCAAAGCCTTGGGGTCCCTCCTCCTCTCTGTCCCCAGAGCTGTATCCATGGGAGGTGGGTTCAGAAGGGCCAGGGTGAGAGAACACGGCCCTGAGCCTGCTTATTGGAGTGGGGTCACGGGTACCTGGTCGTCCTTGGGGCCCAGAGAAAGCTGAGGTCAAGGCTGCAGAGAGCCGAGGAGTAAAGCTGCCAGAGCCAGCAGCTTCCTGTGTGGTCCTTACAGGCAGGAACGGGGAGGTGGGGGCGTCTATGGTAGATGTAGCGTGGCCTTGGGGAGACCAGTGGGGGTGCAGGGTGGGCCTGGGGACCCCCAAGGACTGGGAACTCACAGCCACCAGGTGGGCTAGAAAGTACCTGGAGCAGGCCCAGGCGCTTGTGCCCCCACCTGCAGGCGTGGGTCCCATCCCGGGCCTTTATCTCAAAGCCCTGGAGAGAGGCAGCTGGGGAGCTGTGGGCAGCCCGGAGCTTGGAAACCGCTGTGCCTCAGGCTGCACGTGGCTGTGCACCCCCAGGAGAGCCTGTGGGCCTGTGCCTGAGACATGCGTGTACCCAGACAGGTGGGCTCTACATCCTGGGGGAGGCCTCAGGCACATGCCCTGCTCTCTGGGAGCCCTGGGAAACCAAGGGAACCCCAGAACTCCACTGTCCTCTCTAGGCAACCTCCTTGGTATCTTGGCTCTGCTCTATGGATCTGCCCCTACGGGGCCAAATGGGGAGCCTGGGAGGTGCCTGTTCACACCCTGCCTGGGACCCCTCTGCCTGGTGTGTCTAGCTCTCCTCTGATCTGGCCAGAGGGCATGGCCTGAAGGCAGAACCCCGGGACACAGGCCTGGCTGTGTCTCTGGCTCAGGCTGTCCCAGGGCTGGCACCTCCCCTTTACAGAACCTCAGCATCTTTGCCATGTATTGGAGACAATTGCCTGGTTCCTGGGGGCAGATTAGGACTCATTGCCATGAAGAATGCCAGAGTAAACATGGCAACAGGCCATGTGGCTGGCTGAGCGCTTATTATTGTGGATCCCAGGGGCTAGGGGCCTCTTCCCTGCCCACCCTACTCCACCTGCCAAGGTAGCTTGAGTTCTTCATAAATTGGAAGGTGCGGGGCAGAGTCCACCACACTAGTGCCAGCCGTGGCCCACTCCCAAAGACTCGAAGCTCGGCACTTGGGCTAAGATCCTGAGGAACTCCCAGCATTGGCAGGCCTGGAAACACAAGCTGCCCTGAATAGAAGAGGCTGCCAGCCCAGGTAGGCCCCCCCGGTCATCATGGACTTGTGGACTGCTCTGTATAGCCAGGATCTTGCGCTGGTGCAGGGCTAGGGGGCTGCAGGGCCTGTGCTGTCCCCTCCAGGCTGTCAAGTGTGACAGTCAACCCTGGCCACTCCTGCTGGTTCTCCTTGCTGTGATGCCGTAGCCAAAATACATCACGAGTCCTGCAATGGGGGTACAAGCCTGAGGGCAGGTCCCAGCCCTGCTTCCCTGCTTGCCCTCCTCCTGCAGCCCACCCGGGTCCCAGCCTGTCCCCCACTCACCAATCAGCAGCCAGATGGAGAAGCACAGCCAGGTCAGGGGGCTCAGGTGCATCATGAGGAAGTTGTTGAGGAGGATGCTCAGGGCTGGAGTCAGGGACACCAGGGGAACCTGAGGGGGCAAGGGCAGAGCTGGGCTGGGCTGTGGGAAGGTCTGCTGGCCCAGGGCCTGATTTCTCAGGAGTCCACAGAGCCTTTCTCTGCCTCTAGAGATTCTGGAGAAAAGTGCCCACCACCATGCAGAAAGAGGGGCATGGAGTGCTGGCCTCTCCCACCCTGTGATCCCTGGTTCATCCTGCCATGGCAGAGGAGGAAGGGACGAGGGGAGCTGGCTGGGCTGAGGGTGAGGGGTGTTGGCTGGAGGAAGTACCTGGAAGGCGTCCCGCTGGCGCTGTTGCTGGTGGGCCCCCAGGACGAGGAGACTGAGCAGAAACATGATGGAACTAAGCAGGAGCAGCAGGGTGTAGCCCCAGAGTGGGAGGTGCAGGGCAGAGTCCCCAAAGACCAGCACGCAGTCCAGAGTGATGGCTGAGGCCACCAGGACACCAAGTGCCCAAGCCACGGTGGCTCCAGGCCGGCACCCACCCAGGAAGCCGAGGTAGGGCCTCAGGGCTGGTCGCAGCTGCCCAGGCTCAGCGGCTGAGGCCTGCTCTGTGCCCACAGGGCTGACTGGGCCCAGGGAACTGGATGGAGGGGACTTTTGGAAGCGTAGCACGATGATGCCGCTGGCCATGAAGGTGTAGTCCAGCAGTGTGCCGATGGACACAAACTGGACCAATGCCCTGAGATCTAGCAGCAGTGCCGGAAAGCCATGAGGATCCCAAACACCAGGATGCCCACCACGGACACCTGCATCTGGGGGCGCACGTGGGCAAACACTTGGAAGAAGAGCCCATCGGCGGCCATGGCATAGACCATGCGTGGCATGCAAACGAGGATTCTGAGCAGGAGAGTGGTCATGGCTGTGGCAGAGCGTGGGAGACTGGTCAGCATGGTGGACAGGCCCACCTGGGGCCGCTGTTGGTGGCCAGGTCATGGTTGGCCCCTTGGGAACACAGACATGAGGTTGTCTCGGCCCTCAGCATGAGCCTGAGTTTATGCGGGGTGCTGGATTGTTCCCCCTCACCACCCAGGAATGAGACATCCCAGTTTAGGTGACAGACCCACTGGAGAATCTGATGATGGCTGAGTCCTCTGCCAAGAAAGGATCTGGAAACACGTGGCCAGAGCTGACATTCTATGTACAATTGTGCGCTGTGAGTAGGTCCCTCCCAACCAGCCTGGGTGGAGAGTCTAATCATTAGCCCCTTCCTGGGCCCAGGATGCAACTGGGAACACAGGATCAGATGGAGATGTTCCCTGGGAGGTTTAGGGCAGGGGACCACCACCCTGTCCCCTCCCACCTTGTCTGGAAGGGCCCCTCACCACAGATCGCACCAGCTGTCACGATGAAGCCCGCCCAACTATAGCCCCACTGGTAAAAGGCATCAGAGAGCACCAAGTCTGGGTCCAGGCTGTGCCAGGGCACCATGAGGGTGGGCACAGTGGAGGTGAGAATGTAGGTGCCAGCCGCCAGGCCAAGAGAAATGACAATGGCCATAGGCACGGCTCGCTGTGGGTTCTGGGCCTCCTCACTGGAGCCAACAATGACATCAAAGCCCACGAAGGTATAGAAGCAGGTGGCGGCACCAGCCATGATGCCAGAGAAGCCAAAGGGCACAAAGCCACCCTCCTCAGTGCTCCAGTTGTGCGGGCGGGCCAGGACACACCCGAGGATGATGATGAAGAGGATGATGACCAGGCTGATGGCAGAGAAGGTACGGTTGAGCCAGGAAGAAACACGGGCTCCACAGAGGATGAATGTGGAGGCCAAAAGTATGATGCCAGCAGCCAAGAAGTCTGGGTACTGGGCCAGGAAGGGCACCTGCCAGATGCCCACATGGCCATCAGTGAAGCTGCGGATTTAGTGGCTGAAGATGGCATCCAGGTAGCTGCTCCAGGTGCGAGCCATGGCGGCGCTACCAATGAGGCACCGGAGGAGCACATTCCAGCCAATGAGGAAGGCCCACAGCTCACCCATGGACACGTAGGTGAACAGGTAAGCAGAGCCCCTGCCAGGCGGACGTGCCCCAAACTCCACATAGCAAAAGGATGCCAGCAAGGAGGCCACAGCAGCCATGCTGAAGGACACAATGACTGCAGGGCCAGCCATCTCCTTGGCCACGGTGCACATGAACACATAGAGGCCAAAGCCCATCACGCCACTCACACCCAGCAGGGTCAGGTGCAGCGTGGTCAGGTGGCGCTGCAGCGACATCTCCCTGGTGGACTCCTCCAGTGTCTTCAGCAGGTTCAGCTTCTGGCAGAAGCGCGCCAGGCTGGCGGTGCTGGGCAGACCCCGGGCCATGGTGGGCAGCTGAGAGGAGCACCAAAACAGCTACCAGCTCCTACAAGGGCGAGAGGGAGTGACAGGTGCCCAGCTGGGTCCTGACCAGCCTTCAGTCCTTGCTCTGACCCTGCCCTGCGGACCCAAGCTGGAAACCACTGGCCAGCTGGAGGGCTGGGTGAGGCAGAGCCCATGAGCAGGGTGGGCAGGAGGTCACAGGAAGCATGGAGATTCCTTTGGCCTGCCTCCCAGTCAAGCAAGGGAGCCTGGTGGAGCCGGACCTGAGCGTGTTTGAGAGAGGCCCTGGGATGGGGAAGGGACAGCCCCAGTGATCCCAGCTAGGAACCTCTCCAGTGATCTGGGATCCCAGAACAGGGTGGAAACCCAAGGCTTCCTGGGAGCTGGGCCAGGCCTCCAGGACCCGGAAGAGGAGTGTTCTCGCAGAGGTGGCCACCTGGCCTCAGACAGCAGCGTTCACGACCCTCCTTCCTGCCCCACCAGACTAGTGTATCAGCGCACTCTGCCAGGAGTGGGAGGTGCCCTGGGCCCCGCGCCTGAAGTCAAGGCCCCACAGCACTACAGGCCACCACCACACCACTGACACATCTACTTCTGCTGTACCCCTGTCCCCAGTACCTGAGCCTTCAACTCCTCTCTGGCCTCAGTCTGTCCCCACAGGTGTTGCTGCCACTCACCTTCTGTCGCCATTGCTCCTACTGCTCTGTGCCCACCCCCACCCCTGGGGACGTATCCAGAACTGAGCACCACCTCCAGGTCCCACAGGCTCTCAGCACACCCTACCCACACCTCACAGAGTCAAGACCAGAGCTCACCAGGTTCAAGGGAGGCCCTATTACTGTGTTTGGTTCAAGGATGAGGAAGCCCAGGCCATCAGGAAAGTGAGTAGCCCAGATCGCTGGGGTGGCTTTGCTAGGCTGGTGGAGGTTAAGGTCCCTGTCTGGCGGTAGGGTATGGAGCCCACCTACTTTCCACTGCTGCAGACACTCTCCTTGACCCCTCATCCCAACACAAGTACTCCACCAGCTGGGCACCATCCAGACCCCTCAATACTGGGATGTGTGGGGGCTGCGGGAGTCAGGCGAGACTCTGGTAAGAGGAGGGTATGAATCTGGCTGAGAGGCCCTGGGCAGTCCCTGACATCACAACACAATGGGATAGCAGTAAGCCACCCTCATCTGCTGACAAGGGAGTGGCCAGCTTTGGGGAGTGTTCTGTGAGTTGGCAGAACTCATGCTGGCTGTTCTGAGCTTCTAGATACACACAATGTCCTGAAAGGAGGCAAACAGACTCCTGGGGATGACCTCCAGCCCTCCAGGCTGGGGCATCACAGTGCCCCTCAGACACCAATGGCAGCTGCTCCTAGCCCAGGAGCACCTGTAAAGCCTGGGGACCCTAATGCCAGCTCCCCACTTGTGGATATCTGTGAGAGGTGTCATGGACTGAGCATCTACTCCATGCCAGTCCCATCACGAGGAGACATGTCATGTATCTCATCATGTGACCATCACAAACCCCCATTGGGCTTATTTATTCTTGGGGCTGAGGGGTCTTTGTCCTCCCGCTCTTCCCTCTTCTTTGAAAGTGGAAAGGTTGGTGTCACAAGATGTTAACTTCTTTACAGCAAAATGATGACAATCCATCCAAGAAGAGCAAAGCCAAAACAGATATCCTCTTCCCCCAGAACTCTCTCCATATTGTCACGTTTATATGTGGTTTTGGAATAGGATTTTATGGACACCTTCAGGCTGTCTGGCTCAGTGGGCTGGTGACAGGATGGGGGACTTCCAGACAAGATGGTGCCACTTAGAACACTCTGCCTTAGCAGACCCCTTTGCCTTTTCTGATATTTGGCTGATGTTGTCTTGAGGAACTTCTCAGATGGGCTCCCACTTCCTGCAGGGGTGACATCTCCCATACCTTGCTCCTGTGGGGCCTAAACATAACTGAGCAAATGTTCCTTGTTCTGAAATGCCTTCACAAAAATCCATAAAAATGCATTTCCAACCAAGAGGCTTGAGCAACTTTGTAACAGGAGCTCCCCCAAGGCCTTACCAATGACAACCTGAGAGCTGGTGTGCAGGGTTTCAGAGCACTGACTTCTTATCTACCCAGAGAAGGGCTCTCACCACACCCCTTCACAGGCATCAACACCCAATGGATATTCGTGGCTAAGCATAGTTGATACAGTAAGCTGTAAACTTCCAGGGATATGGCTGGGCCAAGTGCTGGACCCCACTGAGCAAGACAGTTACACAGAGCAACACCAGGAAGATGCAGTGAAGATAAAGCACCAAAAAATATAAGAAGAAAAAGAGAGACCATTTCCCATCTCATCCTACAAAGCTAGGATCACCCTGACGCCAAACCCAAAAAAGACATCACAAGAAAAGAAAACTACAGACCAATATCTTTTGTGAGTATAGATACAGAATTGCTCAACTGAATACCAGCAAATCGAATCCAGCAACATATAAAAATCACCAAGCGAGATTTATCTCAGGAATGCAAGATGGATTTAACATATGAAAATCAATCAATATATGACGTCATATTAATAAAGGACAAAAACCACATGATCATCTCAAAAGACACAGAAAAAAACAGTGAACAAACCTGGAACAGAAGGGACCTCCCCCAAACTGATAAAGACCATCTATGATGAACCCTCGGCTACTACACTCAGCGGTAAGAGACTGAAAGCTTTCCCTTGATCAGGAACATCAGGATGTCCTCTCTCACCACTTGTTCTCAACATTTTACTGGAGGCTTGGGCCATGGCAATTAGGTGAGAACATGAAATAAAAGAAATCCAGGTTGGGAAGGAAGAAGTAAAACTATCTCTAGCCTCAGATGACATGAGCTTATGTAGAGAAAATCCTAAGGAATCTGCACAAAAAATATTAGAACTAATAAACAAGTTCAGCAAAGGTGCAGGATACAAGATCAACATACAAAAATCAATTGTATTTCTATACACTAGCAATGAACAGTCCAGAAATGAAATTAAGAAATCAAATCTGTCTACATAGCATCAAAAAGAATAAATTTATGTATAAACATACTTATAATAAATTTAACAAAAGAAATGCAAGACTTGTGCACTGAAATCTACTAAACATCATTGAAAAAAGTAACAGAAGACCTAAATAAGTGGAAAGACATCCCACGTTCATGGACTGGAAAACGTAATGTTGTCAAGATGGCAATACTCCCCAAATTGGTCTGCAGATTCAGTGCAATCCCTATCAAAATCCCAACTGCCTATTTTGCAAAAATTATCAAGCAGATCCTAAAATTCATATGGAGATGCAAGGGGCCCAGAATATCTGAAACAATCTTTACAAAGAACAAAGTTGGAGGACTTATATTTTCTGATTTCTAAACTGACTACAAAGTCACAGTAATCAAGACAGTGTTTTACTGACATAAAGATGGACATACGGATCAATGGAACAGAATTGAGTCCAAAAATATGGACAATTAAATTTTAATAATTTATGGCCAATTTAAATTTATTGCCAATCACTTTTTTAAAAATAGACTTTATTTTTTAGAGGAGTTTTAGGTTCACAACAAAATTAAGCAAATGGTGGAGTTCCTATAAACCCCCAGCCCCTACACATGCATAGCTCCCCCGA